GGTCCTGGGCTGATGGTCCTGGGCTGCCCGGATGACAGGACCCTTCTCTCAGCCTCGCTGATGTGGTCCAAATGAAAGCAGTGCAATATGTTTGGCACCAGCTTGGCTGCAGGAGTTGCCAGAAGGAGGCATATAAGGCACTATCCAACTGTTTAGGAACTCCGCCCTGGATTTGCGCAGGGTTTACTCCTTAGCCTTTTCTTCTTCTGAAGATTTCCTGCAAGGCAGCAGATGTTTAGGATCAGAGTTGTCCTTCTCCTAGATGAGCCACCTTCCCAGGTAGACAGGCCCCATCTGCCCCTCACTTCCATCTACAGCATGCGCAGAAACCACCTTCTTGACCATTGGACTCACCATAAACTATGTCTGCTCAATCCACTGCAGCCTCTCTTCACATGCAGAGGAAGTCCCTAACTCACTGAGGGTTTGAGACCCATTGGCTGCCCTCACCCGGTTTAACCAGCTGGTTGAAGCCATTCCCTGGTGTGGCCACTGTCAACTTCTAGGAGCCAGAGTTGAGAGCTAAGTGCAGGGAGGTGACCAAAGGTGGTCAAACTACCCCAGAAGGAGCATGATGTGCCCCCCACCGCATGTACTGCCCATCCTCTAACACCCCACACACCCAAATTGAAAATAAAACCACTGATATCACAATGCTGTTATACAAATCTATGATGCAGCCGTATTTAGAACGCCATGTATAATTCTGGTCACCTCACTTCAAAAAGGATATTGCTGACTTGCCAAAGGTCCAGAAAAGGGCAGGGCTGGAAGATTCAGGACAGACGCTTCCTTTCTGCAGCACATTGTTAAACTCTGGAACTTGCTCCCAGAGGAGGCAAGTGATGACCATCAACCTGGATGGCTGTTGCTTGAGAAATGTCTCTGGTAGAATAATACATTGCACCTTGATCCTACATTGGAAAATTAAAAGTAATGATTTATTATATTTAGAATTTAGTCAATTCTCTAAGAACACTATGTGCACAAATTGGTGTTCGGTTCAGGATGTTTCCACAGAACACTCTCTAGACACGTAGATTGGGAATATTGGTTTTGGACCATCCCTAATGAACGGTTTACATTTCTATGAGTTTTGTGGGAATTCTACATTATACATGCCTGAGTTCTTATTCATGAGGCCCAAAACTGTTTTAACTGGGAAATGATCATAAATGACATAATGGAATGTTTCTATTTTGGAATAATCATTTGATTTCCAGACTTTGTTTTTGCAAAAGAACAGGATAATTTATTAGTGATGGGACAACACCCCTTGGCTCATCTCAAAATGCAAGCTTGTTTTGTTTTGGGTTTGGTTTTTTTATAGCTTCCCTTGCAAATGTTTTGAACCAAAAGTGTGCTTTCTCTCTCCATGTATTCCCAGGCCATGCTTGTGAAAAATGCATGAAGCGCACACCCCTTCCCCTGGCAGACCCTTTGTGGCCTTTCCATAACTGGAAATGACGCTGCTGAGCAAGGCTTGGCCCAAGGCATTTTGCCGCCTGAGGCAAAGAACAAGATGGCAGGCACATGCCAACACAGACAATGGGGCACAAGAGGGCAGCAAACTAGTTTAAGGGGCACAAGACAGGCTGTGTGGCACTCATAGCTCTGTCCAGAAGCACCTTGCCAGAGTTCATAGCTCCTTGGCATCAGCTTTCTAAATTGGTTGTCTCACTACCTAATTTTTCTGCCAGTAGTCTTGGAGCCAAAGCTCCTTCTGCTTCTCAATTCAATTTGGGAGGCAAATAAAACTACGAATCCTTTGCTCCCCAAGAAGAAATGATGCCCCTGAACTTGCTCAACAGCTCCTTCTCCTGTATCTAGCAAGCCTTCCTCATCACCAGTTCCTTTTCCCCAGCCTTCTCAAAGGTAAAGGTAACCATTAGCTCCAGTCGTGACCAACTCTGGGGTTGCTCGCTCATCTCGCTCTATAGGCCGAGGGAGCCGGCGTTTGTCCGCAGACAGATTCCGGCGTCATGTGGCCAGCAGGACTAAGCCGCTTCTGGCGAACCAGAGCGGCGCACGGAAACGCCGTTTACCTTCCCGCTGGAGCGGTACCTATTTATCTACTTGCACTTTGACGTGCTTTTGAACTGCTAGGTTGTCAGGAGCAGGGACCGAGCAATGGGAGCTCACCCCGTCGTGGGGATTCCAACTGCCAACCTTCTGATCGGCAAGTCCTAGGCTCTGTGGTTTAACCCACAGCGCCACCCGCGTCCCTTCTCAAAGGTAGCTTTTTCTTTTTTCTTTTTTCTTGCTTGGGAGGTGGTTAGGGGGATGAGCCGAGTTTGAGCCAGGACTCAAACTGAAATAGGCCTGATCTGAAATAAGGCAAGATTTTTCAAACTTGGGAGTTTTATTTTTGAAACCGCTCAGCTGCAAATTTACCCCTTTTGGAATGTGGCAATGGAAAATGGAGAGTAGAAGGATGAAGAACCAAAGACCCTTCCTAATTTGTAACTAGATGAAGCAAAACACTTTGACAACAATAGTCTTAGCAAGTTTATTTTACTAATTCCCCCACCCCCTCGCTTGTCAAAGAACATACTCCCCCCCCTCCATAATAAGTCCTTTCCTCTTCCATTTCTCTTGCAAAGCAGGACAAGGCACTTGTGGTGGGTACACACTCCTGCTAACTGTTATGATGTTTGCTGTCAATTTCATTTATTTATGCAACTGCTGTGGAAAAGCCCCAGGCGGAGAAGCAGCCATGAAAGATTTCAGAGTCCTGGTGTGGGGTCATGAAAGGGAAAGAAAGGGAACGACGTCGGGGCGGGGGAGTCCACTGGTTATGAGAAAGGAACTGACACAGGAAATGGTCACATATGGCACAGATTTATTGTGTCCGGGACTTCCCATTCAAATCCCATTATATCCACAGCTCAGAGCAGCGCTTGGCACATCCCACATTTGTTTTTAGATCTGGCATCCAATGAAATCAGAGCTTCATTCTGAAAAAGAAAAGAGGAAAGGAAAAATGTGATGTGTTTATCGTGCCATGGCAGGAAAGCCAAGGCTTGGTATTGTGTTTGAAAAGAATGCTGTTTTGCTTTCTCTTGTATAGGGTCAATAGTCAGAAAGGACCGGGGGCAGTTGTGTGTTTGCATGTAGAAATGGGCTCGTACGTTCAGCTAATACAGAAACAACCTGAGAGGAAATAGCCCCTTAAAAGCATATCGTGCAGAAAAGATAAAGACTGCTGTTTTCCCTTCAAGAGGAGGAGAACTGTGTTATTTGCTGTGAAATTGGCAAGGACCAGTTGTGTTGAGGCAAGTGTTTTCAATAGGGCTGCAGGTTTAACAAAATGATTGTGATATTATGTAAGTGCTTTAATTTGTGAAACACAGAGAGCAAATACTTGCGGTATAGGTTTATTCAAACTAAGTGGTGTACATATTCAGCTCATATCTCTGCCTTCCAGTAAATCATGCCACATTCATCCCACATATTCTGCCGCAGCTTGGTATGTTCTCCCATAGACCCATATTTGTGGTACCCTCTCTCAGACCCCACCCATTATTCATCTTGTCACGTCACGCCTCTAGGTTCCCTGGCTGACATTTTAATGCTGGTCCACAGAGCACACGTGGAAGTAATAGACTAGAACACCATAAGAAAATCTCCAGGCAGCTTTCTTGGTCTCCCACATACACAAATGCCACTGATATCATCGTAGAGAGGATCCCTTTTATTTATCCCTCCTATCTTTTTGTGTGTGAATACAATACCCTGATCTTCCTTTATTTATTTTAGGGTAGACATTCAACAGGTATTGATAACTACAGTGCTTTATTATAAGCCATCCTATCCCTCCCTCCCCCCCCGACCTTTCCAGATGAGTTGCAACATTTATCACCCAGATACAGTGGTACCTCTAGTTACGAACTTAATTCGTTTTGGAGGTCCGTTCTTAAACTGAAACCGTTCTTAACCTGAGGTACCACTTTAGCTAATGGGGCCTCCCGCTGCCGCCGCACCGCCAGCGTGCGATTTCTGTTCTCATCCTGAGGTAAAGTTCTTAACCCGAGGTACTACTTCCAGGTTAGCGGAGTCTGTAACCCAAAGTGTTTGTAACCTGAGGTACCTACCTTTAAATCCCTTTCCATTGCCCTCTGCTGCTGGATGTCTTTTGATAGCCAACAGCTTTCATTCCTATTACAGGCATATCTCTCCTTCTGTAACAGATTCTAACTAGTTATTTGTGGCAATTGGTTTTGTGTTTCTAGGGGGCCTATAAGAACGGTACGTAAAACAAAAAAATAAGACTCAGGTCCTACAATCTTTATAAGACAACACACACCAGGGAAGGAAGGCGGCAGGGAAAGGTAGATACAGTCATACCTTGGTTCTTGAACTCCTTGTGACTTGAATGTTTTGGCTCCTAAACACCACAAACCCAGAAGTGATTGTTCCGGATTGCAAATGTTTTCTGGAAGCTGAACGTCTGATGCGGCTTCCGATTGAGTGCAGGAAGTTCCTGCAGCCAGTTGGAAGCCGCGCCTTGGTTTCTGAATGTTTCGGAAGTCAAACGGACTTCTAGAATGGATTCTGTTCGAGAACAAAGGTATGACTGTATGTGGGATCACTTAAATGCCAGTGCAAAGGCAAGTTTTCCTCCTCCTATTTCATAGAATCATAGAATCCTAGAGCTGGAAGAGACCACAAGGGCCATCGAGTCCAACCCCCTGCCAAGCAGGAAACACCATCAGAGCACTCCTGACATATGGTTGTCAAGCCTCTGCTTAAAGACCTCCAAAGAAGGAGACTCCACCACACTCCTTGGCAGCAAATTCCACTGTCGAACAGCTCTGACTGTCAGGAAGTTCTTCCTAATGTTTAGGTGGAATCTTCTTTACATGTACCATCAGAAGGAGCCCAACAATTGCCAGGTGGTGAGATGTTCCATCAGCAGAAAACAATGAGGGAGAAAAGGTGCAGTTGGGAAATGGAGGGTATAATGTTGGTTCCAAATTGGGGGGGTATAAAGCTGGGCAGGGGCTGTAGCTCAGTGTAGAGCATCTGATCTGCGTGCAGAAGGCTCCAGGTTCAATCCCTGGCATTTCCTGGTACAGCTGGGAAAGATCTGTGCCCCAGCCTCTGGAGGGCCAATTCTAGTCCGTTTAGAGAGGAATGAGTGAAATGGACCAATGGTCTGACCCAATATAATTCAGCTTCCTAAGTTTATTATACACACGCCACTTGTAGGCTAAGCAAAGCAATTGCTACTGTTGAAATAAGACCAGCCAGAAAGCAAAAGGAAGTGGAAAGAAAATTCCAAGAGTGGAGACTTGCTCCTGTGCATAATAAAAATTCATCCCATAATCCAGAGGTTTTCAACCTTTTTGAGTCCACAGCTCCCTTGACCAACTACATCCTTTCTGCAGCACCCCATGGGACTCAGGAGCCCAGTTGGGTCACCCCTTGCCTGCAGAGCTGGCAGCCGCTCACCCTTTTTCAAACACCCTCCCTTGTGGAGTGTTCCCTCAGCCTCCCCTCCCCTCTCCTTGGGAGTCCTCTGGGCAGCAGCTGCTGCTGCTGCCCCGGTCTCCCACCCCAAAGAGAGGTGCCTCCTAACCCTGCCCCACAGAGGGAAGAGGATACCCCCCAGCCTTGGTGGCCCAATGGAGACTGCCCAGTGGTGAACTTGAGGCAGCACCAGGCACTCAGCTCCCAGGCAGGCCTTGCACACAGCAAGCACAAGAAAGGCCAGCACAGTGCCTGCCTGCCTGCATGCCCAGCCTCCCACTAGTCTGTCCATTCCCAACAGCAAGGGCTGGTGGACTGGCTGGCTGGGCTCCCTCGTCCGCTTGCTTTCTTACTCTGAGGCCATCCCCTGGCCAGCCCCAGAGGCACCGTTCACCTGGGGAGCTTGTAGCCAGGGCTGCTGCAACAGCTGTGCAAGCCTTTGGGAGGCAGAGACGCAAGAGGGCACCCGAGGAGAGAGGGAAGAAAAGGGGAACAGAGGCCAGCATTGCCTGTCGCACCCCTGACCGTCATTCAAGGCACACTGGTTGAAAACCACTACCATAATTGCTACATTCACCCCATGTTAACAAACAAGCCACAAATAGTGAGAGCTTTTCTTTCTCTCAGCAAATAAGAGGTTTCTGCCAAGACTGCGTACTCCTTCCCATCTCTGCCTTCTTGGCCTTGTGGAGGGGCTCCAGTCCCACTTTCCGGACTAGGAGGAATGTGTACTTCTGGACACGAATCCTTTTCCTCAGGCACATTGGTTTGCATGCAGATTTAGTCTGGGTGTATTGAAAAAACAACTTGGATTTGCATCCGTATACGCCCATTTATCTGCTTTATGAAAATTTAGAAATAATTGCTATAATTTGAACAGACTTTAAATTCACTGTGGTGAGGAAGGTTGTGACTAGGTATTCAACTGAGATACTGAAATACTGAGGTCTGAATTAAATATTGCATGCAAACCCATCTCACATCATTCCAGTGACCACCCACTCACTTCAGTCAGCTTCAGGAGGGAAAGGCAGGAGGGTTTGGCAAGGTTGAATCTTTCAACTTTGAAATTCCAAAAATGAGGAGTGCTAAAAAATTGTAACATGACTTGGGAATTCAAGAGATATTTTGGTTAAATTACTATAATTTAGTTTTGCTTGTAGGTAGAATGTGTGTAAAACTGCATAGAAATAATTAAAAATGATTGTCTAGTACTTGTTGTTGTTGTTGTTGTTGTTGTTGTTAAGCATTACCTGACATTTTCAGAAGGTAAAATTAAAAGTTCTTTGGTTTTCTGAAAGCAGTTTAAAGTATGTCCTTCTTCAACAAACGTACACTTACCAAGCTAAATGTCGTCCAGTCACAAAAACAATAGAGGATTTGAATTCCTCACACCCGAAACCATATTTTTAAGATCAACTACTGAAGAAATGTGCAAAAATTAAGTTTCACCCCCTAAAATGACATGACCCAGTTGCAGGGGTGGGGATTCTTAACCTTTCTCCTTCAAGATGCTTCCTTACTCCATATATATATATATATATATATATATATATATATATATATCCCCATCCCACACAGCATTTGCTTCTTCTCTCACACAAGCTCATACAGCAAGTTCTCACAAGGTAGTTTGTGAGATGGCGGGAAACTTAACATGTAAGTTCTCTCAGTTGTCCACTGAATTATTTGTCTTCCTTACTTCTGGGGGAGTATGGTTTATGGAGTATAGTTTGCCCAGGGCCACTAGGCTACAGTGAGTAAATAGTGTGCCATTAATTATGTCCCCACTTTTAGCTTTTAACATGGTAGCTGCATTTATATTAGCATTAGAAATAAGTGACTAGCAAACCTAGGCAGATGGAAACAAACACTGCTTGGCATTTATTTTATTTTGATAAAATACATATTAGAGAAACTTGATGACACCTCTTTGTTTTAGTCAAATGCTCCCGAATTTTTCCTTACAAGTATGCAATGTGAAATCTATCATAAACTGGGGAAGAAATTAGTAGAAAGAAATGGTGATGCTAACCTAAAGGGGGAAATCATTAATGTTGATGTATTTCATTCAATTTTAAATGTAGAACTTTTGAGGGCATTGGTGAGGGAGCTGAGTAAAAAACCGAAAGTCTCCGTGCCTTTAAGTAAAACATCCTTTTTTTAAAAAAAAAACCCACTTAAAAAAACCTTCCCTTTTGGTCCATTTTCTAAATAAAGGATACGAGTTGTTTGGGGTGTTTTTTTTTTCTTAAGCAAAGAGGACCCCAACGGCATATTTTTCTTTTCAAATGTGAAATGAGGTGGAAAATCCTCATTTCACGACAGGAAGGACAAATATTGACACAAAGTTAATATTTGTCAGAAACCCTGCAAGCAACCTGAGTGTTTGGAAAGAAGTAAATTAAATAAAATAACAAATTTGGTGTGGAGCTCTTTTTTAGAATTTGTGTGGGGGGAAAGAGAAAAATTAATGTGAAAAGGATTGTACGAAAAGAGAGCACACACAAACTTCCACTTTGCTGCCCTTGAAGACCCAATAGGCTACTGTGTAACACATCCATGTGCACATCTGATGCCATTGATCGCACCATACATGGTGCTCAGTGTCGCGTGTTGGCGCATAAACACAACAGCCCCCCCATTCTTTTTTTTTTAAAAAAAATCTCTTCTGCATATAATTAGTTTGATCTCATGCACTCGCCATCTTCTTGGCTTTTCTGACTTTTTGTGCCACACCTGCACACCCCAATCTGCGAACCCCAATTCTCTCCTCCCCTCACTTTTGCACACGAAATATATAACCCGCTTAACTTAATTTTAGCCATTTAGAAGGAAGGCTTCTGGAATTTATCACTGTTATTGTTCATCTCGAATGTAAATAGCACATGTCACCTCAATACTCGGTGGTCAATCAGTATTTATTAAGCCCTGTCCACTCTGGCCTTTTTCTGCAAGGAGAGCCGCAGGGCAGATTAGACGCTGCCCCTGACACGGTGTGTCACTTATCTATTTGTGTTGATTATGAGAGTCAGCTGTGAGCAGACCTCTCCCCCCTCCCCCCCCAGCCCCGCTTACAAGAACCCCTGCTTGGATTTTCATGAGGAAATAATCAGATTAGGCCTTCAGCGGCGAGTTCATACGGAGTTCTCTTTTCTCCAACGTGCTGCTAACTGAATAAACGTGTTTTGTGGTAAATTGTAAATGACATTATGATTACCAAGGCCAGCGTGGGTTTCATTTTAAAAGTGATCGAAATGGCTGGCTGCAGAAATTGTGACTGGCAGAAAAGGTGATTCTGAAAGGAGGGAGGGCAGAGGAAGAGGAAGGGACCAACCAGGACTCCAGCAACCTCTTTGCAGAAGAGGGAGCTTGCACAAATGCAAATCCTAGCAAATGGCAGAATAGGAGCAGGACCTCTTCAGCAAGAGAAATGCGAGAGGGATGATCAGTGGGAGGGGAACGGTTGACTCAGCTGTTTGCAAGGCATCAAATGAGGAAGGCTGCAGCAGTTCTGTAGCTAGTGAATCACTGAATCTTAGGGCTGGAAGGGACCCTGAGGGTCATCTAGTCCAACCCCCTGCAATGCAGGAATCTCAACTAAAGCATCCATGACACATGGCCAGCCAGCCCCTGCTTGAAAACCTCCAAGGAAGGAGAGCCCACAACCTCCTGGGGGAGTAGATTCCACTGTCAAACAGCTATTATTACCGTCAGAAAGTTGTTCCCGGCGTTTAGTCTGAATCTCCTTTCTTGTAACTTGAAGCCATTGGTTCCGATCCTACCCTCCAGAGCAGGAGAAAACAAGCTTGTTCCCTCTTCCATGTGATAGCCCTTGAGATATTTGATGATGGCTATCATATCTCCTCTAAGTCTCCTCTTTTCCAGGCTAAACACACTCAAACCCTCTCAACCATTCGTCATAAACCTTGGTTTCCAGACCCTCAATCATACTGATCGCCCTCTTCTGCACACGTTCCAGATTGCCAATATCATTCTTAAATTGTTGTGTCCAGAACTAGACACAGTGATTTGCATGTCCAGAAAGGCCCCGAGATTTTCAGCTTTCTCTCCTTGGTCCTACCCTAATTATCCTATGTTCATTCCTGTGCTCTCTGTTGCGTATATGTGCAGGCGCACACCCATACAAACACACCCACCCTCATGGCCAATGTTCTGGGGGCTGCATTTCAGTGGCTGGTACTAAAATAATAATAATCACAAATGGATGCAAAATATGAAGAACTCAGTTAAACACCGGAAAACTGAGAAACTGAGACATTGGCATATTCTTCCACACAGTGGAAAGGTTAGGCCAATCTGCACGTGCCCCCAGACCACCCCACTGGTAGAAAAACTACCCCTATTAGAACTTAATCCATTTTTTAAAAGAGTTTTAACTCCTCCTTACCACCTCTACCGTATAATTCTTTTTCTGGAAAATGTAGTTTGTTGGTACCTCTAGTTACGAACTTCATTCGTTTCGGAGGTCCGTCCTTAACCTGAAACTGTTCTTAACCTGAGGTACCACTTTAGCTAATGGGGCCTCCTGCTGCCGCACGATTTCTGTTCTCATACTGAAGCAAAGTTCTTAACCCG